CCGCTAGCACTCTCTCATTGCTGTCTGGTGTGGACTAGTGATACTGACTATAAGAAAGCAGGATCAAAAGACCCCTTGTTGTCTGCAGAGAAAATTGTCCCAAAGGTAGGTTGGCCAGATAGCTTCAGAACAAGACCTGTATGGCACAGCCAGATTGGAGGTGCTGTGTGGCCACCCGTCCTTTAGTGTCCTCTGTTGTAACCTTAGGTTAACCTGTAGTTTGTTGCTGATCTTTTGTTCAAGAAAGTGATTGAAGCCGCAAAAAAAAACAAAACAAAACAAAACAAAAACAAAAACAACTCTCTGAGGCAGAGAACTGGCTGAGGATAAGAGCACTTCTCGCTCTTGCAGAGAACCACAGCTCAGTTCCCACAACTCACATTGGGTAGCTAACAACCACCTTTAAGTTCAGCTCCAGCAGATTCGATACCTCTTGTAGCTTCCACAGGCTATACATACCCACAAATAAAAATAAATCCTTAAGAAATTATGAATTGGCCGGGCGGTGGTGGCGCACCCTTTAATCCCAGCACTTGGGAGGCAGAGCCAGGCAGATCTCTGTGAGTTCAAGGCCAACCTGGTCTACAGGACAGGTACCAAAATTACACAGAGAAACCCTGTCTCAAAAATAAAATAAAATAAAATAAAATAAAATAAAATAAAATAAAATAAAAAATAAATGAATCAATTGTGTTACATTTAGAAAGCAATCAGCAATTCACACTTTTCCACCTTGTCATAGAATGGGACTTTGGAGATCACTGGTCTACACTTTTGAGTGACACTGTGGTAAATCAGGGGTGTCTACTCCACATTTGAGTAGCTCTGAAGTTCATAAGAGCCACCGCATAGACAGCTATGGTGAAGGGCTCCGAGCAGCAGGGGATTCATTTTGGCAAGTGTGTGAGTGTGTGTGTGTGTGTGTGTGTGTGTGTGTGTTGGGGGGTGTTGAACCTGCAGAGGCAAGCAGAAGCTGGCTAGTGTAGGAAGGCTGGTGCCATGGCTCCAGGGATTGATCTGACAGAGGTGAGGGAACGAAGAAATGACAGACACACAGGAAAACTGGGATGGGAAAACTGGGCTCCCTGATGGAGAAACCTCAGCAACCCGCAATCTCAGTGTCTTTATTGTTCACAGCTGAACATGAGGCAGGTTTTTGCACATGAGGAGAAAGGTTATTGTATGCACCTGAACAAGGAGGCAGGTTTGACTAATCTTGGTAGGCATAGAAGTCTCTGTAGGGTATCAGTCTTCAGACCATAAACATGGGATGGGTGTGAGAAGGCTGGAAGTTTTTTGCACTCACTGTTAATATTCACACTCAGACCCCAGGAAGGTTTTGCCACCATGCCGAGCTTCACCCAGGGAAGGCTTAGCCATTCCAATGAGGCTGAGACACTGGTCCTTGATATGGGCATGGTCATGTCAACAATACACATTCACTCAGGACTTCACTGACTTTCCTACAGGCTGGGTTTTATAAAGCAGCAAGAAAGAGTACTGAACTAGGTCACACAAACACATGTAAAGGTTGAACATTTTGGCTTCAGTGTTAAAGACAAATTATAGAAAATTAAGACAGGGAGACTCATTGGGAGGCTGGAGGACTGAAATTTATGTAAAAACCTTCAATCAGGGGTTTTTGTTTTTGTTTTTAAGTAGAAACCTTTTAAAATTGCTCAGTATCCATTCCTTCTGAGGACTTCTGTTCCACACCAATCAGACGTACTCTGTTTATAATCTGAAATTTGAGCATTATAAAACTTCTAACTTGATTGTTCCTGCTTTAATAATTGACACCAAATTGTAGCCTCTACTTGATTTGGTTCCAAGCCACTTCTCTAAGTTACCAACAGATTCTGTGAGTTTCTAAGTCTTTCAATAATTCCCTTGTTTATTGGGCAGAGTAAGAAGATTCTCGTGTACACGCATACAAGGGATGTCTGACCAGAATCTCGAACTCCTCTTACAGGACACATTAAA